ATATATATATATATATATATCAATACTTTTATTTCTTCATTATTTGCTCTCTACAAAACTTGGAATAAAAATATTAGAAAAAAATTAGTTATATGATCAAGTTATAGCAAATCAATTAACAAAAGTGTCAATATATGAATTCTATTATTTGTATAATCAGTGTTATTGACTATACTACTGTGTATCTATATTATCTCGATAAAATGGTATGTATACCTTACATATATTTCATTACGATCACAATACGCATGACATCCTATGCAAAAAAGTTTCTGGTCAAAATGGAGCAGAGACCTTGTACTATGGTAAGACACAAATCGACGGTATGTAGTGACAAGGAAAGGAGTAATTCTAGCTGCATAATCCTGACGGATCAACAAGTCCTCTGGCAATCAGTTCAGCTGTCGCGGCGTCACCTTGTTTACCGCCTGATTGTTGTCCTGCCGCAGTTTGTTGCTGGTGCGCGTCACTATTATGCGTGCGTATGTGAAACATGAATTCGGTCTTATCCGTGAAATCTACACGACACATTAAACAGAAATTTCTTTCGGATGTGTAAGATTGCGGAGGCGGTACAGATCCAGGAAAGTATGGAGCGGCATGTTGCGGCGGCGCGGCTGCTTCCGCAATGTGAGATCTGCAAATAATATAAAAATAAGTAGTTATACTTAAAAACATTAGATATTTAAGATAATTTCACAAAACTAGAGTGACAGACTAACCGAGTATGCAGTGTCCACTCTTCCCGAGAAGTGAGCACTCGTCCACACAGATCGCAAGCCCAACTCACTGGTTCTTCCTTCAACTTGTGAATAGTATCTTGACGAGATGGTTGTTGCTGTTGTTGCGCTTGCTGCTGTTGTTGTTGCTGCTGATCGGACCTTGGTGTGCTGGGTGCCGACAGAGGTGAAACGCCAGGTCGATGTCGAAGTTTGTTCATATGAATGACCAATTTGTCTCGACGCGCAAACGCTTTGCCTATAATACCCGATTGCATTCTTTGTTTATTTTTAGTTGCTTAAATTTTGTTATCGAATCGACAATTATAATTCTTGATTATATTTTCGTACTCACCGCACACTTCGCAGGAATATGGCTTCTCCCCGGTGTGTATACGCATGTGAATGACGAGTTTGTCTTTACGTGCGAGTCCTTTGCCGCAGACAGTACAGGCAAAAGCCTTCGTCGTGGGCTCACCTGTATTGGTTGCCTTCGAAACGGATCCCGGACGAATGCTCACGCTATTTGTCGTTCGTAGAGCCTGATTCACAGCCGGTCCTCTACTTGCAAACTGTTGTTCCGTTGCACCAGGAAATGCCGGCATCATGCTGCCGGGACGCATTGGGGAATAATCTGGCGACCTGTGTACGAGAAAAAGCACAATAACAATAATCAATATTTTTTAAATTAGTGTTTTCAATTGGTCTTTTAAATTTGTTACAAAATTGTTAATACAGAAAAGTAACCAATTGCGCGTTAGCTAAATAAAACTGTTGATATATTGAGAATGTTACAAAAAAAAGCACTTTTATCGATATTAAATCAATTCTTTTTCCCTTTCAAATTTAAAACTTCAAAAACTTGGAAGATGTTCCACGGAGAAACACAATGAGTATATATATGTTACAATTACTTATATAACGATCGCGATTCAAGAATATATTTTGCGCACCATGTTCCAATTGAACGTAGTACCCTGACGCCGTCATCGTAGCCGAGTCCATCATCTGGTAAGGTAAATGTAGGGTTCGGCGCTTGTGGGGCCACGGGTGGCCCGGGCCCCGCTAATCTCGCCTGAGCAGCCTGTTGGGCCACTATGTGCTGTTGCAGTGCCGTGTGTGCCGAAACGTGCGATTCCACGTAAGCCGAGCGTTGCTGTCCGTTTGACATCTTGTCCTTATCCGTGGCCTACATTCAAATCGTTTCATTTATCGCCGCGTTTGTTATAATATCACTATCTCTCACAATAAATATTACATGATAAATGTTAATTTGTAATTAACTTTGTGAAAATTTTCTATTTGGTTTTATATTTCATCCTTTTTTAATCTTTTTTTTTTTACATAAATTTACCATTCCACTCTCGGCAAAATATTAATTTATCTTGAGATTATGCGAGAACCAATACGTCTACTAATGTCTTTATTAAACATTATGGCGTCGAAGATTTGTCTTTCGTAAGAACTACGATCAAAATGGCTTTACGAAAAAGATCCCCATAGCCTGCGTGGATATAAAGCCAGAAATCCTTTTCAAAAAAATTATTTTATTATAATTATATATATATATATATATATATATATATATATATATATATAATTATAGTTATATGTACTACAAGTCTTTTCTCGGCTAATTCTCGTAGAGTTTATTTTTTAACACATTATCACAACTTTCTTTGCGAGATTTTCATTAATATATGAAACTGATTGTTTTAAATTAAAATTTTCTCCTCACGAAAAGATCCAGAAAAGCGCAAGTGCAGTATTATTCCCCTCCCGGTGACAGCGTACGCTATTGCCTCGTCAAGGTCTCTCGGCGAAGAGAACAACGAGAGAAAAGTTATCGCACGTTGAGGAGAAAACTTCGAGAAAATCAAATTATTGCAATCTTAGTTAAGACTGTACGTGATCTTTCTTTCATATTCATTTTTATTTATTCATTGTGAAAACTATCAGTACGAGAAAAATATCCGCATTAATTGTGTTAAAAAAGACAAATATCGTTTTTTTTTTTTTTTTGCATTTGAGATTCTTAATTGTGCGTTATGTGAAAAACACCAATCCAGACAATATATAAATGGTCGAAAAGCAAGAGAAGAGAGAGATGGGAGGAAGAAGAAGCCGTCGCGGCAAGTCGATCGTTCTCACAAAAGAGACAAGCACCCGTGTCTTTTTGAACGCGCTTACCGTACACCACTACTAGAATCCCTACGCTCGGCTTCAAAAAGATTGTTAGGCTCTGTGTGAGATTTAAAAAAAAAAAAACAAAAAAACTCAGAAACAAAACACAGCTTCGAGTAAATTTTTGAATCACACAGAATCGATTTTATGCAAGAAGAGAAAGAATTCAACAACTTTTGATTTTATGTGTGTGTGGAACGTACTTATTTTCGATTAAGAGAGATTGAGTTTCTTGAAACTACCAGACACAGTGTCCGAGACGATGGATGCAACAGTCAAACACTTCTCGTTAACGTAACGCACTAAAAAACGATCGTAATGCAAATGTTAATAAAAAAAAAAACACTGACACGTGCGCTCGCTTGTGCGAAATGCTCCGCGCGCTTTCGTGCTTTTCGTGCGGTGGTGCGTTCGCGAAGGAATCTCGCGGTTCAACGGGGAGCGAGAAGAGAGAGCCCACGTAGAGAGAGCTGGGAGCCGTCGTCGTCGCCGACGATTCCCGGCGCGGGAGGATGCAAGGACAAAGAGGCGAAAAAAGCGGCCAATGGCGCGCGCGGAGGGGATAACGCGAGACGGCTGGGGAGACGTTTCCCTCGCCGTCCGACTCCGCGAGAAGGAAAGAAAGAACTGGATGAAGGGAAAAGAGGAGCTGGTTTCTCCTACGATGGAGCTGGAATCAGAGACGCAGAGAAATGATGAGAAGTTTCCGAAACGTGTGTATGTGGAAGAGACGACGGGAAAGAGAGAGAGAAAAAGAGGAGAGAAATGAGAGAGAGAGATGAGCGAAGAAGTAAAAGACGGTGACACACACACACACACACGGACGCAGAGAACAAACACAAATGCCGATGATGCCGAGCGGAGGTTCCCCGTGGAATGCACTCCGCGACCGGAGCGCGGCGCGTTACGAGGTGCGACGAAGAAGAAGCGATCGGGACGGGCACGCTGCCGAAGACCACGATGAAACACGAATCGGGGGAAGAGAGAAGCGACGATGGGAGAGAGGGCGACGAAACGGGATGGTCCCCGCCGGCAGGCAGGGAAAGAACGGGAGGTGTGTGTTTACGTGTGTATATGCACGCGACGGACGCGATCGTGTGTATCACTCGCGCGCTACTACGAAGGGAATCGTAGGGGAAGGAGTAGGAAACCGGCAGATGGAACAAGAATCAGACAAAGAGGAAAAGAAGAGAGAGAGAGAGAAAAGAGGGAGGGCAAAGAAGGATCACGATCGAGTATAAACTGACGCACCAACGCGACGCATTGCGATATACTGGGTGGATATCCTCGGAATGCAAGCGCAAGTAGACAGCGCACTTGAAGGAAACAGAGATAGGAAGCAAAGAACGATATATACGCTTGGAGAGGCGCACAGGCGGCGGTATATAACCCTCCGTTTGTACAATTTGCTACTCACTAACTCCTCTTTTTCTCTTTCTCTCTCTCTCTCTCAGCGTGTATATACACACAAACTACCGGTGAGCAATACCGGATACTTGAGGAGGAGCATCTCTTGTATGCAGCAGCGGTGGTGGCGACGGCGTTCCGCGACCGGTGCGTCGGCCCGCTGACCTTGACACTGACATTGAGTGAGAAAGAGAGAGAGAAAGAGAAGAGGGAGGGAGGGAGGGACGGGGAGTGAAAGAGGCGGAGGGAGACAGACCTTGCGCACGCGTCCGCAACACGGGAGCGAGCCAAGAGAGAGAGACGCCAGAGGGACAACGAGGACGTCGCGCCGCCCTTCGACGAGCCGTCGCCGATATTCCGGGACGGTTGGCAACGAGAGAGAGAGAGAGAGAAAGAGAAAGAGAGAGTCACCCACGTAACGAGACTGTGTGGATTGTCGGGATATCCCAGGTTTTGAAACAGGTTTCTTCTCGGAGATGCACGCCAACTCATGTTGCACCTGTGCCTAGTACTGTGTGACGGATAGGCAAGAGAGAGAGAGAGAGAGAGAGAGAGAGAGACTGTGAGCGGGAGGATGAAGATCGAAAGAGAAAATGCGAGATTCGTTTAAGATACGAAAAGAGAAGGAAACAAAGCAACGGAGAAGAGACAGGCAGGATAGAATTTATATATTGTGTTCTGTAGAACTAAATCTTTCTTGAACATATAACGCACGAACGCACGTAGATTCCATTTTTACACGCAAAAGTATCAAATCTGTAATAAAAGATAAAATTAGAATATGGAAAAAAAATAATGATAATGCAAAATTAAACGTTACATATTATACAAATAAATATATTTGAGAAAAAAGGATGAAGAGTAATGTTAAAAAGAAGAAGTAAAACAGAAGAAAAAAAAAAACAAAACGAACAGAAAAGAACAGAAGAGAAGAACGGAGACATTACCTGATGGGAGCGAGAAGAAAACGGGCAGGTGGAAAAGAAATGGGGTAGGGGAAGCAGCAGACATGGAGGTGCATAGGGAGAGGAGAGCAGTCTCGAGACGGCGAAGAAAGGAGTTACGCTTACGCGACTTTCGCTTTCTATGCGCGCGACGCGCGGTTCGCGGTCGCGACGCCCCGATCAATAGACGCGACGTCGACCGTCGCACCACCTTCTCTCTCTCTCTCTTTCTCTTTCTCTCATCCTCTCTTTATCTATCCTTGCCTCTCTCGTCGGCGTCACCATTCGGCGTACGTGAGGGTGGAATTATTGAGATCGCGCGCCGCCGGGTGCAGCAGACACGGAAAGGGGAAACCAGCAGGGACCTGAGCACTTCGAGCTACCGATCAGCGACGCCCCTGCGCGCGTTTCCTCTTTTCCCCCGTGATCCCTCTTCGCCCCCCTCTCCCCGAGGAATCCGTGTTCCTTGCCCGAATGCCCTTGTCTTTCTCACTCGTCGTTCTTATTATCAGAAACACACAAAAAAAGAAGAAACATATATGCATGATACGATCTCGCAGTTGACTTAATGATGCCTCTAAATTGAATCTTTTTCATTCCATATGCAAGTTAATTAGTTCTATATATCTAGTTTTCATAACAAGTGCTCTACAACAGAAAACACAACGCCACACTAATTTTCACTAAATTATTAAAAAAAAAAAAAAGAATAAAGAAAAACATCAGAAATGTTGCGTAAAGTCTTCACATACATGATGCATAAAACGCAAAGCTGTATCGACATAAATTTCTTTAGCGTGTCGCAACGAATACTGCGGCGCATTATACGAGATCGCGAAAAAACTGTTTTTCATGGGGAATAACAATGAGAAAATGATTTAATTAATCGTAATAAAAAACTGCTCGAGTTTAAACCGAATTTTTTGAATATCTCGTTACTTTCGAACTGTGTCTCGTGATAGAAAAACATCTTATATTCGTAATTTTAATAGTAATTTTTAAATAATACTAATTATTAAGAGCAATTTTTGTATATCAAATAAAAACTGAAGTTTTTACATAAAAATATATGAGCAAAACAACAACACAAAGATGTTGTTAATAATAATTTTGTTGTAATATTATATATTAAACTGTTATTAAACTATTATATATTATTATATTAAACTGTTTCTCTAGTCTTAAATATTTGATGTAAAATATAGTGTAAAAATATAGGTGCTTTATATTGTAGTTCTTTCAATTGGTATATTAAAATCCAATACTCATATAACACTGAGTAAAAAAATTCTAGTACTTAGATAGTTATTACATTTGCTACATACAAGTTTATACACATGTATGTTCATATAATCCTTGTATACGTATACATAAAATGTAGTTACCTGAGTTCTGATTGATGCGATGTTCTTTAAACTGGTAGCATAATTTTTTAATACATTTTCTGTGGTTAAGCAGCTGATGCGAAATTCATAAAACATTTCTAATTTGTACATACATTTTTGACAAATATGTTTTGGCAAGTCGTCCTCTTTTGTTATCTGTAAAAAAACATCACATTTTTATTTGATCTTTATTAAAGCAAACCTAATAAAAACAACTATATATTTCTTTTTTTTTTATACATATAATTTTTTATAAACTATCAAACAAATTGCAAAATATTTGTAACAACCGTATATTTAGCTCGTCTCTGAATAATATTGTTTTACATGCTAGAAATTCTAAAATAATTTTATAAAATTTAAAGTTTTTTAAAACCTAGTCTCTGTTTTCTCTTAGCTATTTATTTGTTTACTTTGATATTATATTTATTGTACATATAATAAATTGTCATTTTAATCATTCTTTATTACAAAAAACATTTCAACACAGTGTAATATGTCATACATATATTTGTATACTTAGCAATTTAGCTTTTTTATTAAATAAACCACATCATGCACACATAGCTGTTACGTTTAAAATATTTATTTATGTAAAAACATTATCTTGATTACTTATTTTTATTAAAAAAAAATTAACTAGTTATACCTGATTGTATTTATTACAAATATACAATTTAACAAAGAAGAAACACCGACAGCTATATTCAAAAACAAAGAGTTATCATCAATAACAATTCTGAATTTTTTTACTTACCGCGATAGTGGGAATGCAAGATTGTATTTTGAACAGCAGCTGTCGTTGCTCAGCCTCTTTGTCGAAGATCTGCATCTGATGAGGACTTTTCAGAGAGCACAGTCTACAGAGCTCAGTAAAATTAAAATCCTCATTCATTGCCATTACTATTTCAGGATAGAAATGCAATACGCGCAAAGGCGAGTACAAAAACAAAATAGGTTATGAAGCCAATGCCGCACGATTCTTCACGCCAGAGCGAAACACAAAAAAATAACGGACGGAATAAAATCCAGAATTGAACTTGAAATATTATATTGCAAGCTTTCTGGAACTTCCAAACTACGAACTCGACGGCTATACGGAATTGCCGTTATGAAAACTAAGCTTTACGACCGGAAGAGATGAACGCCGCCATTTTTTTAGACCTGTCTGTCGCTGCTGTCGGTGGCTGTCGGCGACAAAGGAAACTGCACTGTGCTTGTTACACCGTCTGCACTCAACTTGAGTATTTAAATTTTTACGGGGGACTTTACCAGATTTAGGGTAAAAGACCCAATTAATGTCACCTGTCCAATTACTGTCACCCTAAGTTATTTTATTAAAAATATTAAATAAATCCTAAAAAGTTTTGCATGAAAGAAATCTAACATAGAATTTTAAGTGCAATTAATATAACAAAAAATCCAGCACACTCAACATTCTTTTCTCATTTCTTTCATTTTAGGGGTGACAGTAATAGCTCTCGAATCGTTTCTTTTTTAATTATTAAATTTATAAATAAAAATAGAGATTTTGAGAAGCGCGGTATTATTTTGTTTCTTATATTAGAGACATTGAATAATACCAGATAAGAAGAAAAACACATGTTTTTGATAAATAAATAGTAAAAACAATTCGCTAACGCCAGAGTTTATTATTCAGGTGACAGTAATTGGGTGTCTTCTACCCTAAAATGTTTTTGATTTGTACGTAGTTCGTACGATGATTGTTTTTAATAAACAGAAATGTTTCGGGTTTTTTTTGTGACAAAGTAAGTAATAAAAACATATTTTATTGCATAATATCTATTGAAAAGTAAGACGGAGAAAAATTACACACTAAAATATAATCAAATTACATCTCTGTAAAAATAAATTTAAATATAATTATTTTGTATCTATTTTAATTATTAGTGTACACTTCATTATAACTTAATATATCTAACACACTTAAAAAATACTACTTTTTACAATAAATCACACTTGATAAAATCGTCACACAATGGATAGATCTCATCACAAACTTTAGCGATCAAACAATAATAAAATATTTAATCTCATCAAAAAATAAAATACAATAATAATAAAATACAATAATAATATATATTTTACGTGACTTGGACGCACGAACATGTTATTTTTTAATAAGTACTCTTTGTTGGCGTATTTAGTCAGAGAATAAATATTGAACGCGCGTAAATGTTACTCTCGCCACACTTGTGTATCATAAATTCTATGCACGCGAACACTACATAAAAATTATTACACATGTTACAAATTACAATATGTTTCGATCGCTAAAGTCACATGTCAGTATGTTTTATGGAGTGTATTAGGTGTAACTTTCATCGCCGTCGGAATAACGACCATAATTTATAAACATAATTTACAAAAATCGGAATAGATCAAATTAACAAGATATTTTACAATTATAAGTATATAACTAGAAAAAAAACTACAAGATATAAAAGATATTAATTATATACAATCTTATCTTATACATGACAATATTTTACAGAGATACAATAATAATTTTCTTCTTCAATATATAACGTTACATAAATAATTTTTTTTATAAAACATTAAAATTATTAATTTTTTATATATAATATAGTATTGCGTATTTTTTTTTACCAGTATTTTCCTTTCAGGAAACGAGACTGATAGAAGGTACACTGTTGCGTTTAATTATTGGAATAGTATATCGTTCAAATTTTTTTTTATGGTGTACATTTTCAATGTTACCTAACCCGGACGAAGTATTGAAAAGAGAAGAAGCTCCGCTCTTTACAGAGCACGGGCCATATGTTTACGAGTGCGTTTATCATTTACTTGAATATTTTTATATATAGATATGTGTGATACTTCAAACAAATATTAATTGAACACTGCAGTGACTCGTAAAACGTTTGCTTTTACACAGATTTTTTTAGTATCTTGTCAACAAAAAAAATTTTGTCGAGATTTTTGTTGTAAGAATTATATTTATATTATCAATGAAAAGTGTAATAATTCCGAAACTTAATATATTCTTTTTTTATCTTTTAATAAAAGACTAAAATTTTTTTTTTTTTTTTTGTGGTAAAAATAATAAAATATATTTCATACTATTTATCGAATATTAAAATATTGTTGCGTTAGTCTTAATAATGAAGTCTTAATAATGAAGTCTTTTTTTATAATAGTTAGGTTCATACAAAGAGACATATATTGGAAATGGATGAAGTTAAAGATGAAATTAAATTTGTATTCAGGAAAAGATACAGTTTCAACAGAGAAAAGAGCATAAATGTGTCGAGGACGATGTTGTCACTGTACTGAATATAGGATACATGGGTACAATAAAAAATAATAATATGGTAAAAATAATAAAATCAAATAAGAATTAACTTACTTTTGTGAGCATTTTTAAAATAAACAGAACATAACATTTCACTGTGAACAAATCACTTCTGATTTTATCAAAAAGATATAAATTTTCTACAGTTGGCCGCGTTACCAGAAACTTTTACAAATCAGTTTGGCAATCTCATATCAAAAACTGTATCCAAATCCGAAGTCAATATTTATAAGAGAAAAGGCTAAGAATATAATCTTTGATGGATTGAGACTCATATGCAAATGCAAAGAAATATCCAGATTTAACTACGATTTGCGTATTTTTGCAAAACAGTAAACTACCGAATATGGTGAAAACCACGAAGGAAGGAGCATACTTGTTCAGCGTGTTTAATCACGTACTTTAATACTTTGACATTACACTAGTTTTACAGTTTGCTTATATATCGACTATTTATTGATTGCCAATATAGTTATTTTGATAGAAGTAGTTTTATTTAAATATTGCGGTCGATGTTATAGATAAACAATTCGGCCGAAGGACCTTTTACCGTAAATAGAGGCGTTAAAAATTTGTTACCGTCCTGGTAACATTACCAGTTTTCATGACCGTCGCGTGCAGGAAATATGGAATACCGAAGAGTGCAACGTTGTTTCCGGCAAAGAGTTCCTCACGTTTCCTCCGACATAGAAGAACACGTATCGCAAATATTTATTTTTTCTTCAGAAACTTGTCGGTAAGTTCATTTGGCAACAGCCATAACAATTTAACGTGAAAATAGAAGTGCGAGAATATTTTATTTCAAACGGACGATATAAAAAAGATTTATATAAAAAAGAGTAGATACGTATAATTCATTTTTGTTGCATGTATAAAAAATAAAAATTCCAGAAAGATGCTCCTCTGTTATAGTAACGAAGTTACAATAAAAGGACTGAAGAGACAAAGCGCTACAAGCTGTGTCTAAAAAGTTCTGCGATGATAACGAGTGTTACTGTTTAGAAGTTGAGACGAAAGTGAAATGTCATCCCACAAATGTTCAATCGAGCTAACTAAATGTCAGGTATTTGCACAAACATTCTCGCACGCTCTTGTATTGTCTTTTGTTAAACACAGATAGTGAAATAACTATATAATAGCTTTATCATACAATGTTTGTGATGTTTGGATCGAAAAAATTTAATTAGAACGGTCCGCTACTTTTTTTCTGAACCGCATTTTCCGCACGCTGATCCTGATTTACTAAATTACGCGCGAGGTTTACATCCCGAATGAGGAACGTCACTTTACTGATATATATAGTTATACATGAGATGACAGGGATGCCGATATTATAGGTCATAAAAGAGGGCAATTTGTTATATATAAAAGTCAACCAGCAACCTGTTGATTTGCTCGCGTACGTCAGCGAGGGTTACTTCCCGTTGCTGTGGACCGAAGAGGTAAAATTTTGAAATTGTAAAGAATTCCGAATAATCGGAATTGTTTTGAAAGTTTACCTAGAGAACTAATGCAATTAAATTATATTAGTTTTTTTTTTTGCCAAAATTTTTATATCTCGTCTTTAACATTAGCTTTGTACACATATACTTATTGTGGACATCTCCACTGAATGTCATAACGTTTGCGTATCAAATTCAGCGATTAATGTTTCTGCTCCACAATTTTTGCATTTAATTCCGCTAGTAATTGGAATTTACATTTAATAGTCGCGATAATATTTCTTTATGGCGGAGACAAGCGAGAAAAACATTTACGGTCACAATTCGATGACGCAAAATTCACTGATGTCACATCAATCAATGAATTATTTAGCGTTCAGACAACACACGCGCGCTAATTAATTGCGCTATTGAAAATTTCAGATGTACAAAGAATTGAGAGGTAGGCACTGTGATGTGTAGTAAAATACTATTTATTTGTCTTGCTTACCATAAAATTCGATTATATCTTCCACTGAGACCCACGTGCCGAATATTAACGCTAATACAGAGAATGTAACTAGGAAACAGTTTTTCCATAGTCGCCACTTAAAAGGTCCCAAGTGGTTCTCCCAGCACGAAACCGTCTCGACGACGGCTGGAATACTGATACCGAGGATAGAGAAAAATATTGCACCAACCAGAGAGATGAATGGGTCTAGCTTTGGTATCGCTACTGCCACAGCCACTAAAAAAAACAACAAAGAGACGCGTATCAATATCGTTATGTTTCTAACAATTGTGACACTTTACATTCTATATTGTATTCACATTAGAAGCGCGTAAATCTAAATTGTGTGTGATCACAAAAATTACTTATTTTCTATTGTATTAGGTCTACCGGAAAGTTCTGTCCGTTTTTTGGAATAAAACAAAATACAAATTTTTCTTAATTTTTCAAAAATGGGATATACAAATTGCCTTCACGCTGGCAAGATCATCATTAATAATAATGGCAATTATATTATTTAATCAAGTTTATTGACGGTAAGAAAAATTTGTATTTTGTTTTATTCCAAAAACGGACAGAACTTTCCGGTAGACCTAATATTATACAAGATATTCAATAAATAAAATGTCAAAAGAAATTAACAAGAGAGACACTTTGAAAACCGAGTTTGTTAATTTTATTTTAATATGCAAAAATTGCGAATCACAAATTCCGTCTCAATTGATTTATTATATCGAGCGAAATGAGACTGAGTCGTCGCAAAGCACGCAATTATTCGTTTATTTTTCACACTTACCTGTGAACATAACCATATTTATTCTCATCGTTGTCTCGCCGATAGTTGCGTACTTATGACTGAACCAGTGTTTCATGCCGTTCCACATGATCTCAAGCGGCACGAAATACTGCAGCCCGTAGGTAAACAGTACAGCCACAGCGATAAGAAGCTTTACCGTCTGACCCAGACTGAAACATTTGCCCTTCGTCAAATCTACAATCGTCTCATTTTTTGATAATAAATAATAATAATAATAATAATAATAATATTATTATTATTCTTATATATAATTATTATAAAATAATATATATAAAATAATATATTATAATATATAATTATTATAATATTAATATTATTATATAATAATAATAT